AGTTTGAGGGTGCAGTGAGCTATGATCTCGCCACTGCACTCTGGCCTGGGTGACAGATCAAGACCTTTCAAAGACCCTGTCTCAAAAAAAAAAAAAAAAAAAAGGCAAACGTAAACTCATTATAAGTTCGCAAAACAGATTTCGTGAAAAAATGTATTTCTAAAAAATAGCAAGAATAGTATTGTTTTTACAGTTTTGCACATCTATCTTTAATGGCTGGCATAATAGAAGACAACAGGATTCTCCTATCTGCTTCTGCATTCTATCTGTGGCCATATGTTGTTTTGATTGCAGAATATGGAGAAAATCTGGCCTCACACAGATGTGTATTTGGAAAAAAAGGAATATTTTAATAGCCTTTTAAGATAATTGTGGATATTCTTTGATTCTATACCAAAACTTGACAAATGTTAATTTCTTAATGTTTAGGTGCAATGTAGAATCTGAAGCCATATCAAGAAATTTTTATACTCTTACATTAAAATCCATTGGTCAGTTTTGCACTTTGAATAGATACTTTTTATCCATGCATGGTTTTTAGCAGCATGTACTGGTCATTTGGAAAGTAATGGTCTCACTGAGGTATGCAGATATTCAAAATGTTGACACATTTTATTATGTACTATCCAAAATCACATCATTAAGGTATCACCACTAATACCATTAACAGTCTTTGAGTGTAGAAAACTATTAAGCTCATGGAGGTAGCTGGAAGTTTTTTGAAATTCTAGTTTTTGCTTTGAAAGCTCAAAACTTACTCATTTTGGGGATAAAAATCTACCAAATACCTAACTCTGAATAAGTTTAACTGACAATTTGTATGTCAGTCATTTGTTCTAAGTAAGAATTGTGTTTTAGGCCAGGCACGGTGGCTCACGCCCTGTAATCCTGGGACTTCGGGAGGCCAAGGCGGGCAGATCACCTGAGGTTAGGAGTTTGAAATCAGCCTGGCCAACATAGTGAAACCCTGTCTCTACTAAAAATACAAAAATTAGCTGGGTGTGGTGGTGCACACCTGTAATCCCAGCTACTCGGT